CCTAGTAAGTGCAAGGCCTAAATTTAATCCCCAGTACTGAAAGAAAAAGAGAAAGAGAGAGAGAGAGAAGCAGACCTAGAGAGAAAAGGGAGGGAGTGAGCATTGAAAAGAAAGACTCAGAGTCAGCACAAAATTTGCAAGCAAGGGGGTGGCTGGGGATCTGAGAGAGGACTCAGACCTAGAATGCCCAGCTCCCTCAGTATTTATTGAGTTGCTGTGTATAGCTATTGATCATGAAGCATATGTGGTTTAATAGTTAACTTCTGGGCAAAACAGGATATATGTTTAAACTTCTGTGCTCTGAAAAACAGCACTTACACTACTGAATGTAGGAACAATCATGCGTGCAAGGCATTCATGGTTCTTAGAACAATGCTGGGAGGATTCTGTCTTCTGTCTCACATCCATGACCAGATACTTGGTCTTCCAAGCAATCTGGCCGAAAGTTCATGAACTTCTGATATTCATTACACCACGTGGTCTCCAACATGTCCCCCTTTTTGTTTTTGTAACAAAGTAAGCATAACAAGCTTTACCCAGAAGCTAACCCCACCAAAGTAAGCATACAATTATAATGATGACTTCAAGTAGACTAAATACATGCATTTGAAAATATTTAAAAGGGTTCAAAGTACAGAGCTGTGAACTCTGCCCAGCCTCCATTGCTGTGGATCCAGTCAACTAGGCGTGTCTCCAGTTAGGCCACCATCCACTCCTGTACTTGTCCCTCCAGTGGTTTCATCTCTTTGTTGACGCTCCCAGCACACAGAGCAGCCCCAAGGACATAACCCTTCTGCCTCAGCTTATAGCCTACAAAGTCAGCTACCAGAGCCCATGTGTCTGGGGCCGAGGCTGGGGTCGTTACCCAGTGTGGGTTGGTTATCTCTCCGTCCATTGTATGGTTTTGTATTTGTTCCTGGAACCCAAACACAATCTATGTTAGCATATTCTTGAATACAACCATATCCACACTCCCATGTTAACAGCTTGTCTGGTCCCCTCCACTGGCCTGATTCAGGGTGTCTCCATATAACCAAAGGCAACATTTTTAGTGATTGCAGTATTTTGAGAATGTCATTCAAAAGGCACATATCCATCATCCGAAAATGTGAAAAAATTTAAGGTTGGTAAAGCCATATGTAATTGAGAGTGTGGGGATTCCATGAGTCCCCCTTTATGTTTTAACAATTGTCTTTTAAGTACACCATTCATACGTTCCACAATGGCCTGACCTTGAGGATTATAAGGCGTCCCTCTAATGTGTTGAATTTCCCAAAGAGCGCAAAACTGATGGAAACTTTTTCCTGTGTAAGCAGGAGCATTGTCTGTTTTAATTGTATGTGATATCCCCAAAATAGCAAAGCATTCTCAACAATGTGACTTTGCATGACACTTGCTTCACCTGTGTGACAAGTAGCCCACATTGCATGAAAAAAGGTGTCTACAGTAACATGAATGAATCCCAACCGGCCAAAACCTTTTATATGTGTGACATCCATTTGTCAGGATTAGTTGGCATGCAATCCTCATGGATTTATTCTTGTAGGAGATTTTAATGTGTTAAATATAATAAGGGAGACTGAAAATAATGGTTGGACTCTAGCTATTTGAGATTTTGAAATAGCTTTTTCTACTATTTGTAATTTCTGTTCTGTAGAAGATGTCAGCTGTTGAGGAAAAGACAAATCTGGGTCACCTTTTAATACTCTGAATAAATTTTTTAAGCAGAAGTAGGAATTCCCAGCATAGGTCTAAATCCAATTTATGTCACCCAATAATTTTTGAAAATAATTTAAAGTATTTAGATTTTTTTTTGCCTAATTTGAACTTTTTGAGGTTTAATCCCTTTTTTATCCATAACATAACCTCGATATTGGAATGGAGGGATAGTTTGCATTTTCTCTGGGGCAATTTGTAAGCCAGCTTTAACTGGTTTTGTAGATGCATATAAATTTTGGTGAGATTTTCTTGATGTTCTGCTGCTGGTAATGTATCATCCATACAATGGGTAATATGTGCTTCAGGGAACAATAATCGGGTAGGTTGTATGGCAGTATCAACATAACTTTGACATATAATGGGACTGTTCAGCATCCCTGTGGGAGAAATGACTATTGATAGCACTTCACTGGCTCCTTAGATTAAGAGTAGGTACACTAAATGCAATTTTTTCTTATCTTCTTCACATAATGGTATAGTAAAAAGCAAACTTTTAAATCATAACAATAAGAGGCGAATGCATAAGGATGGCACTTGGAGTAACTAATCCTGGTTGCAAGGGCCCCATGGGCTGCATAACTTTGTTAATAGTTGCTAAATCTTGAAGCAGCCTGCATTTTCCTGACTTCTTTGGAACAGTAAAGATGGGAGTAATTCCATGGACTGGTGTAGGTTCAATATGACTGTATCCAATGTTGTTTTACCAGCTCGCGTAAATGTTGTAATTTCTCCCCAGTTATAGGCCTCTGTTCCACCTATACAGGTTCTTTATTAGCCATTTTATGGACAAGGCCCTGCAGGTAGAGGGGAGATTAACAGTGGTCATTGTGCTAAATCTGAATCATAATCAATTACTGTCTTCATTAGCATTCTCCTAAGCCAGTTGTTTATGAGTACATCAGCAGCTTGAGGATGAACAACCTGTTGGCTTACAGCTTTAGTCAAGCGATCTAAAAAATCACCAAAGCATCAGAAGGTCCTTAAAAGCATTTTAGAAAAGATTTATAAGGCTCTCCAGGTTCTGGTAAAGTTTGCCATGTGTGATGTGTACACAGGGAGAACTGTTCATGAGCCTGAGGGTTATAAGTTAATTGTGCCTGAAAGGTTAAGAAAGCACCAGTCTCCATTACCATTTCAAAGGTGATAGCCACATTGTTTTGAGTATCAAGTCTGGCAGTTTTTTGAGCAAAATCTCCAAAAGCTGTTTTCCATTACAAATAGAGACCTCCTGATAAAGCCACTTTGGCTCTCTGATGCCAATCCCAAGGAGGTAACCACACTTTATTTAAAGACTCCAAAATAGTTAATGTAAACAGAGCCTGAACCTCATTCTCTTTCATACTATCTCAAAAAGCTCAAAGAGTTTTTAAATCAAACATCTGATGAACTCTGAATTCTCCCCTGTCCGTCAGCTTGTTCTGTAAGCGGAAATAACATCAGATCATCTGGCTCTATAAAGTCAAACGTGTCTTTATATTTATTCCAAGCCTTTTGTACAGGAGACAACTCTTCTGTTTAGGTTCTTTCACTAAATATATATCGGGTTTCTTTTTAAAAGGTTAGTTTCTTTCCATTCCTGTGGAGGAGGAGGTAGTGGAGCATTAGGCAAAGGACACTCACATTGAGTCACAGTTTGCTTTTTACTTTCTTTTTCCCAAAATGGCTCAAGCACCATTTTTACCAGTGACCACATAGAAAATATCTGTACTAGAATATGAGTGCCCTGTCTGTGCTCCTTTCATAATATTTACCCGATAAGATCCCAAACTTCAACATCCAATATCCCCTCCGCCAGGAACCATGGACAATAATTTGAGAACATAGTCAATAAGCTCTTTGATTTGATCAGAACTTACAGAGGCTCCAGATTGCTTTAAAAGACACTTTAGACACTTTAAACATAATGATTAATATAGATGAATTCTGCCCCATTGTTACCCAGCCTTTAGTATCCACACCAGATTATCCTCACACCTATAATTGCAACTCAATCGGGAAGTATGCACGTCTTATTACTTATAATTGCCACAAATCTCTTCAGGTCCCTGTCTTCACACCCCACACTACAATAGCCCCATGTTGGGCACCACTTGCCATGGACCTAGAGAGAAAAGGGAGGGAGTGAGCATTGAAAAGAAAGACTCAGAGTCAGCACAAAATTTGCAAGCAAGGGGGTGGCTGGGGATCTGAGAGAGGACTCAGACCTAGAATGCCCAGCTCCCTCAGTATTTATTGAGTTGCTGTGTATAGCTATTGATCATGAAGCATATGTGGTTTAATAGTTAACTTCTGGGCAAAACAGGATATATGTTTAAACTTCTGTGCTCTGAAAAACAGAATACAGCACTACTGAATGTAGGAACAATCATGCGTGCAAGGCATTCATGGTTCTTAGAACAATGCTGGGAGGATTCTGTCTTCAGTCTCACATCCCATGACCAGATACTTGGTCTTCCAAGCAATCTGGCCGGAAGTTCATGAACTTCTGATATTCATTACACCACGTGGTCTCCAATGAGAGAGAGAGAAAGAAAGAAAGAAAGAAAGAAAGATGAACGAACTATATTAACATGGTAACAATTTGCCATGAAACTGTTGTGGGGTACAGGAGGAGCTGCTACAGGGGTTCTTATCTTCACTGGGCTTAGGAATAAGTCACGAGACACGGATAGTGCACACACAGGTGGATTTATTAGAAAAAGAAAAGGCTGTAGCTAGAGCAGTGCAGTGGAGCCCAGAAACTGGTGGCTCGCTGCTGAGGTGAAGGCTGGGGCTTTTTATGGACTCTTTAACTCTAGGTTAGGGTGAGGGTTAGGTGGGTTCTTTCCATTGGCCATGGATTTGCACACACAGGCTCTCTTTGATGAGCTGGTCTGTTTGCCCCTTATTGGGGGAAACAACCTCGAGAGCACCCTATCTATCAGCCCCGTGGCAGGTTTATGAGGCCATGTGTCTCCTCCTGAGGGTGCAGGGCTCCTAGTGCTCTCCATGGGGGATGGGATACTGACTCACTCATCTGTCCCTTCGGTTCCCAGACCCAACAAAACTGTTGTCACAAATAAAAGACAAGTGGATAAAGGTCACTGGATGCATTAATGACCTAGAATAACAGTAGATCAGAATACAAAGCCACCTCCAATTACTAGGACATTTGAAGAGGAAGTGTTATTTGGAGACGACTTTATATTAATGAGAACATTCCCCTCAAGGTAAAAAAGAACAAGAAAAGCAACTGAGTTAAGTAGCAGTTCTAAAACAGCCCTGTGTACAATCTTTTCCAGATTACTACTTCTTGTCCATTGGTCTGGTAATGTTGGGGAAATTTGGGATCACCTCTGCTTTCTCCATGCTGTACGTCTTCACAGCAGAACTCTACCCAACCCTGGTCAGGAATATGGCTGTGGGGATCACCTCCACGGCCTCCAGAGTGGGCAGCATCACTGCTCCTTACTTCGTTTACCTGGGTAAGGTGCCGCTGCTCAGTTTTTACTTTCTTTAAATTAGTTTTAAATATAAAAGTAGTAGATTGTCATTGTGAAAATTTAAACAGAGCCAAGTAGAGCGGTGCATGCCTTGTAATCCCAGCCCTTGGCCGACTGAGGTAGAAGGACTGGGAGTTTGAGGTCAGCCTGGACTACCTAGCAAGACCTGTCTCAAAAACAAAATTCAAACAACATGGAAAAAATATGCAAAACAAAATATATATATTATATATGTGTGTATATTTATTTAAACACAGAAGCAAAATTGTTGTATATGCATTGTAACTTTGTTGTACTTAACATTGTATCAGAACACCCTTTCAAATGAAGAGATTACTCTTTTACTTTCCTTTTAATAAGTACACCTACTGAGGTAGGTAAAGTGGTAAAGAACCTGCCTAGCAAGTGCGAGGTCCTGAGTTCAAACCTCATTACCACCAAAAAGAAAAAAGTGTCTCCTTTTAAAAAGCACATAGACTTCTAATGTATGTACATACATAATTTATTTAACCAGGTTCCAATGGATGGACATGTAGGCCATTTCCAGGCTTTTGTTATTGCAGCTTGAGCAGCCCTAATCTGAAAGTCCAAAGTCCAGGGCTGGGGATTTAGCTCAGTGGAAGAGCGCTTGCCTGGCAAGTGCAAGGTCCTGAGTTCGGTCCCCAGCACCAAAAAAAAAAAAAAAAAAAAAATCCAAAGTCCAAAGTACTCAAAAATCTGAAACTTTTTGAGTTGCAGTGCTCTGATTTTGGAGCATTTTAGGTTTCAGATTAGGAATATTTAAGTGATAAATTATATGCAGATATTCCACAATTCAAAAACTTTGAAATCTGAAACATTTCTGGTCCCAAGCACCTTTGATAAAGGATGCTCAACCTGTACAAATAGTATTGCAACAAACAGGCACCTATACCTCTACACTCTTTGTGCATTTCTTTATATATATTTGAATTCACAGAGTCCTAAAAGTAAAATTGCCAGAGCAAAGAATGCCTTTTTAAAATTTCATAGAAATCGCCAAATTGAGTTTTAAATATTGTTCCAATTTATGATCCAACAATCAACAAGAGTGGTTGTTCTCTGTATCCTCACCACCAAAGGGGACTCTCCAGTTTAAAAATCATTGGTAGTCTGAGCTGGGTGCTGGTGGCTCACACCTGTAAATCCTAGATACTTGGGAGTCAGAGGTTGGAAGGATTGTTGTTTGAGGCTAACTTGGGCAAATAATTCATAAAACCCTACCTCCCTCAAAAAAATTAAGCAGAGCAAAATGGACTGGAGGTGTGGCTCAAGTAGTAGAGCACCTGCTCTGCAGACATGATGCTCTGTGTTCAAACCCCAGTCCCATTTCAAAAAAAAAAAGTCATTAGTAATCTGCTTATATGAAAAAATTGATATCATTACTGCTTTTGTGTGTGTGTGTGGTACTGGAGTTTGAAGTCAGGGTCTCACACTTTGGAGGTAGATGCTCTACTAGCCTCCCCCCACGTTTTTTTTTTTTTTTTTTTTGAGATAAAGTCTCACTTTTGTTGCCTGGCTTGGCCTTGAACCTCGATCATCCTGATCTCTGCCTCCTGAGTAGCTAGGATTACAGGTGTAAGCTGCTGATACCCAGCTTTTGTTTTTATTTATTGAATTATAATGTTAAATTTTGTTCATATATTTATTGGCAATTCCATTAATTTTTAAGTGAGCAGACTGCTCATGTCTCTTAACATGGTTTGTTCATCTTTTTCTTTTTGATTTGTGTGAGTCTTTGTGATGTAAGGATATTAGCCCTTTTATATGTGTTATAAATCTTTCCTAGTTTATCATTGGCATTTTGACTTTATGATTTTTTTGCAACGCAGAAATGCCTATCTATGAATGTTAAATTCAGAATAGCTCCAAAACATGGGAAACTGGTGTTCAAATAAAAAGGAAGACTCACTGTCTCGCCTTACTAATTATTTTGCAGTTCTGTTTCCTTGCACACTTGATAGGAAATACTTGGTTCTGAGATGCCCTTGAAATGCCTGAAAGACAACAAGGGTTACTATGTTAATGTTTTGTAATGCCCTTGTAATAAATGGAGACATAAAAGGGCTGCTTTGTTGTCCTGATATGACAAAAGTTAAGTAATTTTTTCCACTTTAAATCAGATCTCAATGTTTTTACTTCATTGCTTTTTCTCAAACTACCTAGTATAAATGTCAAGCCTCACCATACATATTTTAGAAATGTTCTTTTAAAAAGAACATTTTGAGGAAGTTTGCAAAATAGCAGAAAGCTCACTTCTGGAGTATGTAGATAACTTTCAGGTTTCTGAGGCTTGTGTATATATAGGTGCACACACAAGTATGTTTTCACGTTTTGCATGTGAAAAGAAGGCCCTAATATCTCCCAGTTTCTATTTCTATCTTATTTAGATAACTGGCCTTATGAATACATTTAATAGATGAAATACTTTGACCTAAATTGGTATATATCTTATGTAAAATTTATAAATATCCTGCATTCATGTAAGAATAATTGTATGGGATTTAAATTTGGATTTTTCGTATTGGTTATAGATTATGAAAATTAAATTGATGATTTAACATAGATATAAAAATGAGTTCTGAGCCCTTAATAAGGTTTTGTAAAACCAATCTTACATCCTATTAAAAAGATGATCCTTAAAAAATGCTCAAGAATTTTTTAGCTTTTATAGAATCAAATGTATCAATCTGGAATAACACCAGAGGGACTTTAATGGGATAGTCAGTGGATGGAGGATCTGGAATTCCTATCTTAGTCTTCATTAAGGACTCCATTGGTGAGAAACGTAGACTCACCTCCTTATTCTTCCTAATCATCCCTTGATTACTTCCTGGTTCAAACCTACAAACACCCCCACATATACCCCAATGACACAGAAATTCTTAGAAAAGGTACATTCTAAATCCTTACAGAGAAAGAGAAATATGTTCCTGCACTGCACTGAGCCACACGTGAGACAGCATTATTATATCTGCTGTGTTTCTCCTTTGTTCTTCTCTGTACTTTCAAACGACGCTCAGGTGGTCCAGTGGTGGGCACTGCCACATAAGAAGCAGAGCCCAAAAAAGAGCGTTCTTCTCTATGGTGGCAACACAGAGGCCCCAGAGAAACCTCAAGATCATTGTTTTTCTTTCTTTCTTCCTTTCTTCCTTCCTTCCTTCCTTCCTTCCCTCCCTCCCTCCCTCCCTCCCTCCCTCCCTCCCTCCCTCCCTTCTTCCTTCCTTCCTTCCTTCCTTCCTTCCTTCCTTTCTTTCTTTCTTTCTTTCTTTCTTTTTTGCAGTACTGGGGCTTGAACTCAGGGCCTTCACCTTGAGCCACTCCACCAGCCCTATTTTTGTGAAGGGTTTTTTGAGATAGGGTCTTGTGAACTTTTTGCCTGGGCTGGTTTTGAACCACAATCCTCTTGTTCTCTGCCTCCTGAGTAACTAGGATTACAGGTGTGAGCCACCAGCACCCAGCAATGTTTTTCTCAATTGTCAAAAAAAGTACTGCACTTCACTGTATAGCTTCTCTGTATTCTCCGTATGAGGAAGGGAATCAAGATGAGGATCTTTATTCTCCTGTCTTAGTAACCCCATCTAAAGTGAGTCTTCCAATTATGTATAAAATGAAGATATGTAAATGCTGCAAAATGAAACAAAATCCAGGCATAATGCTTTCACAAAATGTACCTAGTATTTGTAGTATTTGTCATTTAATCTTTTGTGACTGCCTTTTTTTTTTTTTTTCGGTGGCACTAGGGTTTGAACTCAGGGGCTCACACTTGCAAAGCAGGTGCTCTTAACACTTGAGCCACTCTGCTAGCCCCATTTATTCTTTTAAATTGGATTGAACATAGCACTAGATTTGTTGTTGTTTTGTTTTGATTTTGAGACAGGGTCTTGCTAAGGATCCCAGGCTAGCCTGGAACTCTTGATCTCCTGCCTCAGCTTCTTGAGTGCTGAGGTTACAGGTGTGAGTCACCACACATGACCAGGTTTTGTTTTTGTTTTTTAAAGAGTCTCAAAGCTCTGTGGCCCTAGCCTTCCTCTGCAGCCCACTGGTTTGGGCAAAAGTGAGGTCACATCAGATTTTAAATGGCCAGAACCTGACCCTGAAACATCCTAGTCAACCTCTTTCCCCTTGATGTCCCTCTCCCATCTCTAGTTATCTCCACCTTAAGAGGAAACCTATGGTAAGAAAAGAATTCTATGGAAGGAACACCTGTCACACATGATTGAGCTAAGAAGATGCCAGTTAGCAGGAAAGGATGAAAACCTTACACTAATGCACAATCAACTAGGGTAAATTATTACAGAAATGCAGTTGATCACTGCTTCCAAGGAGAAACTGGGGTATTTTGCTGACTTTTTTCTTCGAAAATGTTTGGGTTGAAAACTGCTGTCATGCAATTGACTACCTTTACAAAATATTTCTCCAGCGCATCCAGGCAATCGCTGCTTGTAACTGACATCCTGCTGTCTGATGCTTCACAGGTGCTTATTACAGACTTCTGCCCTACATTGTCATGGGCAGTCTGACTGTCCTGATTGGAATTGTCACCCTTTTTTTCCCTGAAAGTTTTGGAGTTACTCTACCAGAGACTTTGGAAGAGATGCAGAAAGTGAAAGGGTAAGTGGAACTTAACAAAATGACAGGAAGAATAAACATATAAGACTATAGCTCGGAAGAGTCTGAAAAAGAAGAGTATTAAGTGATGACAAGCTCTGTCTGATGATGAAATGTAATGTTAAGCAATGGTAATTAAAACAGCATGATCATGGTATAGGAACAGAAATCGAGGGAATCGGATAGTGTTCCGGATAATGGAGAATTCAGTATGTGATAAAAAGTACCAGTTCAGGAAGTAGAGGTAGGAGGATTGCAGTTCAAAGCCAGCCTAGGCAAAGTTAGTACAAGAGCCTAGCTGAAAAACAAACTAAAAGAAAAAAGGACTGGGGGTATGACTCAAGTGATAGAGCTCAACTGTGAGGCCGTGAGTTCAATCCCCACAACCACACACACACACACACACACACAGTGTCAATTCAAAATCAGTGAAGGAGAGGGGCAGGCATGTGCTGTAGACCCCTACTTAGAAGGCAAGGGGGAAGGGTCACCTCAGTCCAGGAATTTGAGCTAAGCCTGGGCAATATAGTGAGACCCCTATCTCAAAAAATATATACATACAGATAAATAAATATTAAAAATAACTGGGGGGAGGGAGAAGTCAGATTGTTCAGTAAAAGATGTTAGAACATTCAGCTAGACATTTGAATAAATAAAAAAGTTGCATCCTGGACTAGGAAAATGGCTCAAGTGGTAGAGTACCTGCCTAGCAACCATTTGGCCCTAAGTTCAAACCTCAGTACCACAAACCAAATAAAAAACAACAACAAAAAAAGATGAATCCTACCAAATACATAAAGGCAAATTCTACAAAGGTAAAAACAGTTAGGTCTAAAATGTAAAAATCATAAATCTACTAGAAGAAAGCATTAAAAAAAATTTTTTTTGGTGGCACTGGTGTTTGAACTCAGGGCCTCACACTTGCTAGGTAGGCACTCTTACCACTTGAGCTACTCCACCAACCCTTTTTTGTGTTATTTTTTTCATGATAGGGTCTCAAGAACTATTTGCCTGGGGCTGGCTTTGAACCTCCAGCCTCCTGATCTTTGCCTTCTAAGTAGCTAGAATTAAGGTGTGAGCCACCAGCACCTGACACATATTTTAAAATTTTTTGCAGTACTGAGTATTGAACACAGGGAATCACATATGTGAGGCAAGTGTTTTACCACTGAGCCTTGCACTAGAACTGGAACACACAAACACACACACACACACACACACACACACACACACACATATTTATAATTTTTAGAGAAGGTTTTTCCAAGCGTAATATAAAAATCAAAGAACTGTAAAAGAAAAGATTGATATATCTGATCATATTATTTTTTTGGAGGGGGGGATTACTGGGGTTTGAACTCAGGGTCTCAGGCCTGTTAGATAGTACTCTACCACTTCAGCCATACTGCCAGTCCACTTTGCTCTGGTTATTTTGAAGATGGGATCTCACGAACTATTTGCCTAGCCTGGCCTTGAACCACAATCCTCCAATATCTGCTTCACACATATTTAGGATTACAGGACAGAGCTACCAGCAGCTGGCTGATCATATAATTGGTTTTGTTTGTTTGTTTGTTTGTTTTAGTACCAGGGCTTGAACTCAAGGCCTACACCTTGAGTCACTCCATCAATCCTTTTTGTGTTAGGTATTTTCAAGATAGGGTCTCACAAACTATTTGCCTGGCTTTGAACTGAAATTCTCCTGATCTCAGCCTCCTAAGTAGCTAGGATTACAGGAGTGAGCCACCCTCACCCAGCTGATAATATAATTTTTAAAAGGCAAAAAAGCAGCTATAAAGGTGGAAAACAATAAGAAAAGAAAATCAGCTAGACATGGTACACACATCTTTAATCCCAGCACTCAGAGGTGGAGGCAGGAGGCTCGTGAGTCGTGAGTTTCATGAGGTTCTTCAATTAGAGTTTTAAATAATTACTTGTTCATTGATTGGAGAAATGCTTTTCAGTGTCATTTTGACATTTCCAGGAGGGGAGTCTTGAATATTTAATTTTCTTTAGCAGTTATTTTATTCTCAGGTTCAGATGTGGGAAAAAATCAAGAGTCTCAATGGAGAGAGAAGAAAATCCCAAAGTTCTAATAACTGCATTCTGATGAACTTTCTACCATATTTGACAAGCTGAAATATACAGAAGACCCTAAGAAGAAACTAAAGCCTTCCTTGCCGAATGGACTCACAATAGCAATTAACATCCAAATGGACCTTGATGTGGAGAAATGCTACTCATCTGGCATGCTCTGGACCACGCTTCCAGACCGTCCACTTGTCTTCAAGAACAAGCATTTCTAGAGACTCTTCCTTACTAATTAATTTGGAAAAATAGGTTTGTAAGATTTTTTTGTGTTCGTCAAGGACTGGTAAAATCCATATGAAGATTAACACAAATCTAATACAACTATTAGATGACAACACATGTGTATATGTGTGTACATGTGGAAAAGTGTAGATGGACCAGCACATTCAAAATTATAGTTACTTGTAAAGTGAACTCAGATCGTGTCGTAACCAGAGGATTATATGGTCTGCAGGTTCTGAATCCTTGGATTCAACCAGCCTAAACTGATCGCTGCTGTTGTGTATATATAGCTAAAGATAGGATGGTTACATCTGTACTGAACATGGAGTTTCTTCCTTGTAATTATTCCCAAAACAATAGCATTTAACAGCTTTTTACATTGTATTAGGTAATACAATACATTGTATTGTAAGTAATCTAGAGATGATATAAAGTAGGGTATATACAAATACCACACCATTTTGTACAAAGGACTTGAGTTTCCTCTGATTTTAGTATCCAAGGGGGTCCTGGAACCAACCACTCAAGGATACTAAGGGATGACTGTATACAGTATTTATATCTAGAAGAAGTTATGCACTCCTTTCAGGGGAACTGATGGCTGTTAGGGAAAAAAAAAATTTTTTCCTTCATTCTATTCTCATGCTCAACACAGCATTTCAGTGACTGGCTTTGGGGTGGGAGAGGTCCCTTGCATATCCAGCAACTCTACAGCAGACACCAGCTGGTGTCCTATAACTGAATTCAATAATTAATTCAACTCAATGTTAGAATAGGTTTGAGGGTTCAGTTCACAAGCCTGCCCTCACACAGGACACTATACTTTTGACAGACTAGCTACAAGCCAGAGTTTTCTAGGATTCTTTCTTGAGTTCAATAAATTTGCTAGAAATTCAGGGAAACACATTTGCCAGTCTATGAGACAGGATATAGATGAACAGCCGCTGAAGAGACACAAAGGACCTTCCCAGCATGTGGTCCCACTCACCTGGAAGCTCATCAAATCTTGTCCAAGAGTTGTTCGCCTGTAATCCTGACTATTCAGGGGCAGAAATCAGGAGGATCGCGGTTTGAAGCCAGCCCAGGCAAATAGTTCGGGAGACTGTATCGCAAAAAACAAACAAGCAAAAAAAATCACTAAAAAAGAATTGGCAGATTGGTTCAAGGCATAGGCTCTGAGTTCAAACCCAAGTACCGCAAAAATAAATAAATAAATAATAAATTTTTAAAAATAAATAAATAAAATAAGGGTGTCAGGAGTTTCAGAGTTTGGTCTCTTGCCTCCGTGCTAGATGTTAGTGGGTAAGCCAAAACCTAAAGAGCCAATCCACTAATCCTCTGTCACTAGGTCTTTCTGGAGATTGGCCCAGTCATTCTAAGGCTGACCAGGAGCCTCTCCCTAAGTAACCTCATTAGTACAAATCTACAAGTTATCAAAGGGGTTTATTATGACTAATAAAAGACACTTCTGTCTCTCAAGACAGGAGTTTTAGAAGCTCTAAAACAGGAACCAGAAATACAAATCATATTATACCACAATGGCAGATGTTACTAGTATTTTGCAAGTGAAATGTAGCAAGAGGTTAAGTAGGCAGGCTGGCCCACCTGGCTTCAAGAAGGGAGCCCACCAAAGCTGCTGGAACAAGCCTGGTTTGTTTGCTTTGGGTGGAACTGGGATTTGATCTCAGGGCTTCGTGCTTGCAAAGCCGGTACTCTACTGTTTGAGCCACAGTTCCACTCTATTTTGCTGGTTATTTTGGAGATAGAGTCTCACTATTTGCCTGGGCTGGCCTCAAACCTTGATCTTCCCAATCTCAGCCTCTCAAGTAGTTAGGATTACAGGCATGAGCCACCAGCACCCAGCCCGTTTGTTTTTGAGCATATGATGAAGTTCCCTAAAACTGCTTAAGATACATAATGATGGTCAACAGAAAATCAAAAAAACTGCACAAACCAGTTATCAGGGTAGAGATGGCTTGCTTGCCCCACAGCCAAGAGGACTGAGCACCAGGGAAGAAGGCAGTGGAAGTTTAAAACTTTTTTTTTTATGGATACTTGCCTTCCAAAGCACCATATTCAGTGCATCCTCTCAAGCCAGGTGTATGCGAAGTCAGCAATAGCAGAACCTCAGCACCACGAGTGAGCAGCATAAAAGAGGAAAACCACTAATGGGATATCAGATTACCATAAGCTCAGAGGTATATGTCAGCTCTGCGTCTCGTTGTGCGCCAGGCACGCTGAGATGATAATAGCAGTCCTGAGACTCAAGGCCACATGTCTCAAGAAGATCACTTATAGCTGGATACCAGTGGCTCACAACTGTAATCCTAGCTACTCAGGAGGCAGAAATCAGGAGGATGACAGTTGGAAGCCAGCCCTAGACAAATAGTTCAGGAAACCCTATCTTGGTGTTTACCCAACCCAAAGCAGATCTCGCAGAGTGGCTTAAGTGGTAGAGCACCTGCCTAGCAAGCCCTAGGGAGGCCCTGAGTTCAAATACCAGTAACACACACACACAAAAAAAAAAAAAGAAGAAGAAGAAAAGAAAAAGAAATGACTTATAGAGAACAGCACTGTGACAAGCTACTGGCCCTTAAGCACATCCAGAGCTACAGCACACAGACAGGAGTGCCCTTAGTTTTTAACATGCTCTTGTTGGCATCACCTAAAAGCAATGATCCTCAAATGCAAATTTTCATTATGTAAATAGTCCCCCAAAGGCTCATGGGTTGAAGGATTGGTTCCTAGCTGATGGTGCTATTGAGAGGTGGTGGAACCTTTAAGAGGTGGGGCCTCGTTAGGATAAGTAGGTCATTGGCTTGCTCTTGAAGGGAATAATAGGACCTCAGCACCTCTTCCTCTCACTGTTTCGCTGCCATGAAGTGAGGAGCTTTGCTCTTCCACCTGCTCCCCGCCATGATGTTCAGCCTTGCCTTGGGCCCAAAGTGATAGGGTCCAAGGGACCATGGACCAGTACTAAAAAAAAAAAAAAAAGAAAAGAAGACACAAAACAAAAACAAATCAGTACAAATTGAAAAGCTACATACAAAAATATATTGGGCAAAATTGCCATCATATATATGCATCAATTTTTTTTTCTTTTTTTGTTTTGTTTCATTTTTGCCTCAATTTTTTTTTTGGTACCAGGGCTTGAACTCAGGCCTACACCTTGAACCACTCCACCAGCCCTTTTTGTGTAGGTATTTTTGAGGTAGGGTCTCACGAACTATTTGCCCAGGCTGGATTCAAACCGCCATCCTCCTGACCTATGCCTCCTGACTAGGTAGGATTACAGTGTGAGCCACTGGCACCCGGCGCATTTTGCATCAATTTTTAAAATGTCCACTGATATGCCAGTTAAATAATCAGAGGGCTAAGTACATAGCCTATGGAGAAACGTTCCTGAGTCTGTCATCACAGCTGTGTAATCTTAAGCAAGTTACTTTCCTTCCTAAACTTCAGCATCTTCATCTGTAAAGGGGAGTGAAAACACTTCCGCAGGCAGGGACTCCATAAGATACTGCACATTTAGCAAATTTTGATGTTTTCTCTCTCTCATCTCACTCATGTCCTCATTTCACTCCATTTCCAGCTTAAATTGCATGAGTAATCACTATAATCAACTTCCTTTCCCTTTTCTTAATCCACCTTATCATTTGGGCAAACTATGCTGGTGAAATCCTATCCCTTCCTGCTTCTCACTGCCACAAAAACAATGCAAACCTAGTGACGAGTTTCATTACCGATCAGTTTGCTGGGCTCCTTTGGCTCTACAGATAGAAGCTCTTCCAGTACTGGCCATCCTGGGCCTTTGAGTGCCTATGGCCTAGGGACTGAACTGGCAGACCCAGGGACTTACTCTAAACCCTGAGAGCTAGGGGCCTATTGCTCTGGGTTTAGAAGCCAGACACCTAAGGCTTTACGCAGTCAGGTTGGAGACTTATCGCTCTGGGCTTTAACCATCAGAGGCCCCAGCACTTGGCAGCTATTGTAATCCTCAGCTTCCAGCTGTTGTGGGAACAGTAGCAAGGAGCAAGAAGTGAGTCCTGTCTTCTTGCATTATAGCTCTTGTACAGGCCTTGGTTGTTGGGACTCTCAGCCCTCCAACAGCTAGTGTTACAGCCCTCAGGGCCCAGGGTATTGGAATCCACAGCTCTGAGGCCTAGGGTGTCTGAGACCTTGGCCCTTAAGGCTTGGCAGCTCTCTGGAACTCCTCCAGTGACTAGGGTCCACAGTCTCATCCTAAGTGTGTCACAGCCCTCATTGTGTCCATCACTTCTGCTTCCCATTGTTCTTCCCGTGGCTGCTCTCTGGGACTCTTCAGCTGACTTCTTGTCTGCTACTGCCACTGTTGCTGCTGCCATGATGGTGGCTACTGCTGCCTCTGCCACTTCCAGTGCCACCACCTTTACTGTTGCTATAGCTCTGCTGTCACTTCTGGTGTCCTCTCATTGTGCTACTAGCTCAGCCTACTCTACTAACGATCAAAAGTAAGCCAAAAAAAAAAAAACAATCCAAAAGACCTCTCAAGAGAAAGGTGTCATTGGGCCTAATGTTGTAACACCAGAGGACGATACAAAAGGGTGTCTCCTGACTGGCACACAACATTGAGTGGAACAACCTGCTCATATAGCCAGAAAAAGGGAGTGGCAAGGGTGTCCACATTTGCATGAAGGACAGTGTTTGCACCAGTCACATGCCTTCTGCTGGGCCACTAGGGGAAGTGCTCCCCATCTGGCCTGGATAGAAATGGCTGCAGGATCATCTAGAGTGTTGTGATTGCAAAAAGTCCAACACAAGTTGAAACAGTCATGTCTGGGACAGTGCCTTAGGAACTAGACTTGTACTTTGGCAGCAAACAGCTGTGGTTGCCATGTAACTTCCTCAAGATGTCCATGAGTGTTCAAAAATGCCCATGCTGGCATGAGAGATACCCAGCAGGCTGGTTGGCTGATAGTCTGTTGTTCAAGGCAGCCAGGTCATCAGAGAAGGTTCTAACAGCTGCAACTAGGGAA